ATCCTTGGTGTTTCCTGGTTTGAGTCAGAGGATGAATGAGTCAATGTTAGCAAATGCAGTAATGACAGCAGAGAATGGGTGTTGCTGAGCTGGGCTCACCAAGGTCAGTGATGACGCTGCCATGTTTCTGTACCGTGTCTTCGAGCCCTTTCAGCGTGTCATTGATGAAGCTGAAGCTAAGGATGACTTCAGATAGTTCACCCTGCAGCGTCTTCAGCTGGTTGTTGTTGATGGAGCCTCCAATCACACTGTGGCCATCTAAAGGCTTCTCAGCATCTAACGCGGGTCCACGTCCACTGGTACCACCACTACTGCCAGTGCCAGAAGAACCACCACCTACTGTGAGTTTAATTTGCATAGAAATTTAATTATCCACTCATCAAAAAAATATGTAAGCTTACATTAAAACACTTCTGTCCCTTCATGAGATTTATGGTGTAGACCTACGTAAATCACAGAGCTCCAGGGCTCCCTTGCAAAAGAGGTTATACTGTAAACCTTAACGACAGATCATTGATTTGTTTAGTCTGACCTGTGGGTGTGTCCGCACTGGTCTTACATTGGCCAGTGCACCTCCTGACATCATCTTGCAGCAGGTGGACTTCATCCTGCAGGTGTGAACAAATCTGGAAACAGCTGTCTTTCTCTTTGTCCAGTCTGTTGATGTGGCTCTGCATGCGCCCCAGTGCATTCTGGGAATGATTCTTCAGCCTCTGCAGCTCATCCTCTACCTTCCCGCACAGCTCGCAGTCCTGCCCCAGCAGCTCCACCTCTGTCACAATGCGGTTAAAATGTTCGCTGTGGTCACCGGTCAGAGCTTTAATGTTACGGACATCATGGCTCAGGTCCAAAACCTGCATGTTGATTTGCATGTTCATTAAATATGCCAATATTCAACAGTAACAGCATATATACACCACACCACATGTTTAAAAAAATTTTGAAACTAGTGGTGTGTAACGGATTATAGCTGATCTGTGATCCGCACGGTTTTCAGCAACTCAAAATCCGTGATCCAAACCAAACCGCTGCACCACTAGTTCAAACAGGCGTTTTTTTTTTATCCGTTCTTGTACTTTCATGTTAATAACTTCCTTAAAAAAAGATTTATGTAAGTAATTCTCCCTTGTTTACTTCCCTCCTAAAGTGATAACCTGATTAGTTTTTAACTCTGTTAAAAGCACAGCTGACATTTTACACGCTGACTTAGATCTCACCTTGTCGTACAGAGAGTCTCCGGACACCGACAGATCTTTGAGTCGAGTATTAAAGTGTCGAATCTGATCCTCATTAGCCACAACTCTCCACTCCAGTGATTTCTCTGTTGTATTGTCTCTTACTCCTCCTGCCCCAAACAATCCACCCCCTGCACCTCCCTTGTTTCCTCCTTCTGTATTTCCCGCTCCTGATGCTCCCCACTTTCCTCCTTCATTTCCTCGGTCCTCTTCTCTTCCTCCTGCTTCAGACCTTCCACAGGTGCACTCTTCAAGCCTCTCATTCAAGAGGGAGGTGTTGTTTTCCAGCTTTGACAGCCTTGTGACGTGGTCGCTCACCTTGTCCTTCACCAGCCCCAAGTCCAGCTCCACGTCTGCTATCCTGAAGGCCTGGTCATCAAACCGGTCCAGGAACACAGTCCTTAGGTCCCCCAGTTCTCTGTGGAAGTAGTCTTTCAGGTCATTTTCCAGGTATGTGCAGCTTTGCTCAGTTCGTTGCACCGTGTTGTTGACCCGCCGCTCCAGGTCCTTCAGCCAACTGTCCAGCTTATCCTGTGTCACCACTCCTTCCCCTCCATTGATTCCACCGCCAACATCAAGACTTCCTTCTCTGGACCCACCACTCTCTTTGTTGCTGCTGCCACCTCCTCCGCTGAGCTCCTTGTTCAGACGGTTTTGCAAATCATCAAAGTTCTCTGAGGTTGAGCTGATCTTGCGTTCAGCATCAGTCATGCGATTTTGGAGGTCATTGACAGTGTTGCAGCATCTTTGCAAATGCACCCCGTGCTGCTGCAGTTCATCCAGGCTCTGCTGATACCGAATGTCCATGATGTTTAGTTGTTTCTCCAAAGCTTGGATCTTCTCTCGGTCCTCCTGCTGCTGTCTGCGTAGATCCTCCACCCCAGCCTGGAAAGCACAGAACGGTGAATGAACTACTTAAAGGCCAATAGTGACAGGAACAAAAGGATTCTTAAATCTATTTGTCCTGCGTTTGGGTAGAGCATATCTTTGACCAGAAGGGAGCAGTTTATATGCAGTAAAAAGGGGATGACATATATATTCAAAAAAGAGCATTTACACTAATCATTATAATCACCTGCTACTTGGCCATGGACAAGAAAATATCTATTGAATCACAGAATCATCTACAAACTTAATTGCCTGTCTACCCTTATAATGGCTCTGGCACTCTTATTATATAAAACAAATAAAAGAGGAGAACGAACATACCCCTGGGGGAGCCAGTGGAGGAAAAAAATTACTACAGATAAAACTCCATTAACTCTCACTTTTTGAGATCGGTTCATTAAAAAGTCAATCAACCAAGATATTAAACAAGAATCAATGTTCTGTTAAAATATGGGGTTGGATAGAAATAAAAGCAGAAAAAAATCAATAAAAAGCAGTTGTGCAAAGTTTTTGGCACCATCCAAATGCCTCTGAGCCATGTGAAGTTGGGTGCCTACAGCTTCCTCCACACCCCTTCCTACCCTATAGGCAAACTGTAGTGGGTCCACCTTGTCCTGAACCTCACTTAAAATCTCATTGTCACAGTCTTCTCAAGGGCCTTCATAAAAAGAGAAGTAAGTGCTACAGGGTGAAAGTCATTAAGCGATAAGGTCCTTTACAGCTACTGAGTCTTTCCAGAGGCAGGGAACTCTCTGAAGCTGAAGAGACTTCATAAAGTAGAGGACTGCTGAAAAAACATAGAAGACCTTTAGGTCTAATTAAAACTAGGCCCAGATGATTTCTTCTACGTTTTTTTCAGCATACTACAACCTGGATGACTGAGAATTTGCACGGACATAAAAATAGAGGAAAACAGCCAGTTGCTCTGCACAGTAATTCAAGAGTCGACCACTAATATTATCAGGACCTGGACTTTTCCTCTCTTTCACTCCTCTAAAAATTCTAAGAAAAAAATCTCAACAATGTGTATCTTCTGTTGTTGTTGTTGAAACGTTCCTATACATGGACAGTTCCTCACTAAGGGCATAAATATATCAAATATATTCAAATCATAAGAAGTACAAGATCCAACTTAACAAAAAGAATCTGGCATTTTTTGATTGAATACCCATTACAGACTTAACGCCCTCTCACGCTACGTGTGAATTTCCCTTCCCTAGTTCCCTTAGCAACTTGAAGCTCCCTCCAAACTTGCATCTGCAATTCTGTGCTGCGACATATTAATTTCATCTTCACAAAAAATTTCTGTATGCTGTAACAGTCTCAGTCAAATCATCCAAATCAGAGGAGGCATTATTAATAAACGCCTCCCAACTTGTGCCACCAAAACAATCCTAGATTTTCTGAATGGACTCTGCTGGCCAAACCGGAACTGGACAATGCTCTGGTTTCATTTTCTTCAGAGCAGGTATGTAGTTAGGAACCGAGTATGCAACATAATGACAGGACATACTTAGAGGAGCTCAGCGATTTATAAGCCCTGCTAATAGAACCATAACAGATATCCAGACATTTCATATGTCTATTGGGGCAAATAACATATTGATGAAAGTTGACAAGCAACTTCCCAGGATTTCAATGATTAAAATTGCCCATGACAAACTACACTGAATCCAAAGAAAATGAGACAGTTTTCAGAAATGCTGTTGTTTTACATACCATTGCAGTTATTTCCTGACCAGTAGGAAATTATTATTTTCACACTGTGATGTGAAACATACATACTATGGCCTCCATTGTTTTGGATTATTGTCTCATTAAAATGGTTGATGTGATACCTGGCACGAGGAGCAGGACAGTGACACTCTCCTTTCCAACTCCCTCAGGATCTCCTCCTTCAGCTGATTCAGTCTCTCTCCACTCAGCTCTCCTCCAGATAGACCTCCTTCCATCTCGTTACCTTTGCCATTCACCAGGTGGTTATTGATGTTGACCAGGGTTTTATCATGAGCCTGTTAGAGCGAGGACACTTCAGCTGTACTTCAGATTAAACCCAACATAAACAAGGAGCTGCACAAACCCAGATGTCACTTCTTTACACATCCAATATTACGTTGCTGTGTCATCCCTTCACCGGGTGCTGGTATGCTTGAAGAATATAATTAGGGGCAATACAAGTTGACAGCCTTTGATCTAGACAGAAGCGAAGTGCAAAACAGTAGGCAGGGCTAAAAAAGGACCATAAATCATGACATAAATTTTCACTTCACACCTCAGTTTGACAGGATATACCCTCCTATACTCTCTCACAGGTAAAGAAGGAAGCCGTTGCTCACCTGTGTGCGGTTGTCCAGTTGGTCCAGTTTGGTTTGAATGCTATGAATTGTCTCCTTAATCTCTGGTTGAGCTGCATCTGCAGGGTTTCTTCCTCCTGAGGACGGAGCTTGTCCATGCTGGAAGTGCTCATTCATGGTGTTCAGGGTGGACTGTAGGTCCTGGAGGTTCTTGGTCAGACCCTGGATCTTCTCCTCCAGCTGCCTCATCTTTTCATTCTCAACTCGTGCTGGAAGAGAAAGAAGCAGCCGCTTATAGAAGCTCTACAGTCACATGGGCTTCACACCTGAGATGAGCATAGTAATAAGAGCAGCTCGTGGAGGTCAGCACGGGTTAGGAATTGCTTCCTCTTTCTTTCATAAGATATGTGTTCAAAAGTGTCACATGAGAATCCACTCACCATTGTGTCCTCCGCTCTGTCCTGATCCAGCACCGCCGCCTTCCTGACCATGGCTTGTGCCCCCTCCATGTCCAGGCTGAGGTCTGGTAGTAGATATGTGGGTGCCCGCTCCACTGTCGGCGCAGTCTTCTCCGCTGTAACCATGGCAACACTTCCACTCCATCTCTGTCACCATTTTGTAGGCCACTTTGTACCGTGGTCTCATGTAAGTCCTATAGCTACAAAGGCACCAGAGACAACTGAGATGTTTAATTTAAATAGAAAGAACAAGAGTTTAAAGTTCTACAGAAAATCTGATTAAAGAAACAGACTGAACAATGAAAATACACATTGTGACGTGTCATGTGACAGCTCTGTCTCCATCACAGCCCCATATGTTCAATTGGAAAGAATTACATTTTACTTCTGGTTGAAGTTTCCTCTGTTGAGGACGTTCCATTACATCATCGTGTTGGTTGGACCTCCTTAAGCTCTCGGTGACTCCTCCGTTGGCATTATGATATTTATAAAGCTATTCTTACTTGTGCACTTACATGGAAAGGAAAGTTGGGAGCTGTTATGCGCTCTGGTCAGAGAACATGTTAATGCTGACTGTGCCAAAGGGTAAAAATGAATTTGGTGTGCAAGCCTTTTTTGTGCAGCTCCTCATACATGGACCTCTTCGCAGATAAAGCTAAAAGTACATTCTTTTTGTGCAGCTCCTCATACATGGACCACTTCGCAGATGGAGCTAAAAGTACATTTTTTAGTTTCTTTGATGAGATTTAGAACTTTGCTGTATGGAGTCAGTTCTTCATCAAGTACTTGCCACTGTCAGTATGTTTGTTAATTCTATTTGATTTCATGCTTTAATATATTGTATCTAACTTAGTGTTTTTACAGGTTTTGATTTATTTTTATTATCAGTTGCTTGCTTGGCTAATGAGAGGGCGTTATGGAGTTATTTGTATTGTGCCCGTGTTGTCTGCCATGACTGATGTTGTTGCCTGTCTTGGTCAGGCCTCTCATGAAAAAGAGTTTCAATCTCACTGTGTTATGGTCAGTGGACTCACTTCCTGTTTGGTGTTTTTATTTTGGTTAGTTTCCTGTCCTGTATCACCTCTCCTGCCCCAGCTTTACCCCGGTTCCTAGTCACCATTCATTGTCTCCACTTATTGCTTATTATCCTCTGGTCTTCAGCCTTTATATTCACCTCCTTTCCCTCAGTCCGGTTGCTGGCTCATCTGTTCTCCATGCCTTGTTGCCCCGTCATTCATCTTTCTGCATACTACACCCAACCTGTCCGCTTTGTAAGTTTTGTATCAGTTGCCTTGGTTACTTTTGGACTGTTCTTTTGAGTTTTTCCTGTCAGCAAGATTCTTGGTTAGTTCTTCGGGTTTGTTTTAGTTATTTAGTTTGTTCCATGGCTCCCTGACTGTTCTGTTTAGATATTGGTTTTGTACCTGTATTGTAAAGTCCTGTCAGGTTGAATATCTTTTTACTACTTTGTTCCTCTTCATTTACATTAAACTGAATAAACACTAGACTCTAGACTGTCTGCATTTTGGGTCCTTCCGTGCCCGAAACTTAACACACTGAGGTTTTGCTGGTTAAATAAAGGTTATATAAATAAATAAAGTCAAAAGATTTGTGCAGATCTGCTGATTTAAACAAATAGCTCCACTTGGCTGTAATTATTATTGTTTTTTTTTGTTTGTTCTGCAGATGTTTAGGATCCTGTTTGCTGGCAATACTGATCAGATCGGCCTGTAGATCAGTGAAACTGATATTCAGTCAGATGAAGATTGTTTACCAAAATAAAAACAGACAGCGGGTTAGCAGTGTTCAGGTTCAGCCAATGTGTGAGCAGCAAGACTTTTATTTAGACAAGTTTCTTTGTGAATGTTGAACACCTGTGAACTTCTAATGTAATGCTGGATTCAAATTATGCAAATTATGCTTTAAAGTGTATGTGTATGTGTGTGTGTGTGTGTGTGTGTGTGTGTGTGTGTATACTCACACCACCACCCTGCTGCACTGTCCGCTCCCCCAGCTGCACGGATGATAGTCTGGCTTCACATAGGTTTCAATTCCGTCCTCGACTACACAGCTCACCGTCTTTGTGACGACATATGCACACCAGTTCCTGTGTGACACACATGCAAAGTTCACATCTTTACTGCAGCGTAAAGACATGACAAACATGACAAAATCACAATGAGACAGCTGAAGCTACTTAAAGTCCTGCTACACAAATACTGTGTAGCGGAATTTCGAACATGTTTCTGCTGATGAGACCTTTCTAGACAAACATGATACTGAGCGTTAATTAAACTTTGTAATCAGATCAGATGCATGTTTTAGTCTGCTGGTCAACTGCAGCTCAAAACCTTTGGTGACAAGCCTCTGTTCAGGGTGAGTGAGGTCAGAGTTGAGCATGTGCAGCCTAATGATGCAGCCGATGCTACAGGACACTGGCGGACATCTTTGAAACTGTGTCCTGACACCTACACACAGAGTCAAACCTGGCTGTCTGAATTCTTGACTGTGTTGCCTGAAAACACATCAAATGAAAACCTGTTATTTGTTTTTTGTTTTTGATTTTTAACAGAAAGGGAAGCAAAGACTTAAAATAATAGTGCACTGTGATATGTCAGAAATATATTTTTGAGTAAAACTGGGAATATATTTTATGTATATAAAGAAGATTATAATTCTGTTATTTGTCTAAATTATAATTGTTTATCATCTTGCCATCAGCAGCCATGAGTTCATATAGGCAAGTTAAGTTGGTGTTTATTATCAGTATATTTTTACATTAAAAGTCTGTATTAACACATTTTACTGTGTTTTAGAGGGTGTGAGAACAATGACAGATGACAAGCTGGGACCCCGGCTCTTGGTGGGCGGCCTTCTGATTCGACTGGTTGGGATGAGTGGATAGAGAACAGAAAAGCATCAGAACACAACAGGTTATGGTGCCATGAAATATCAGAAGACATAACATAATGTGTTAAGTCGATTTCTACTCTCCATCACTGTCCTCCTAGAATTATAATACTATAGACAATATACACACACAGTTTCAAGGTGATGCCAGTGTTGGAGGCAGCTGTCGGCAGAGTTCCCTTGCGTGTATTTTTTGTTTTCAACGGTTTTTTGCAGCACATCTTGGATTACCTACACCAGAGACGAGCTCCTAGACATCCAACAACTGACCCTGGACACTTCTACCCCCCTTCTTATGGATGTGGCGGAGAGCAGGAGCTTTAGCCAGACTATGATGATGGGGGTTTTCGAACACTGCTCCTGGCTATCCACCTCGCAAACCTTCACTCCCTAGTAAGCAAAATGGATGAACTGCTACTCATCAGACTAACTCGGACTGTTCACGCTCGGCAGTGCTGTGTTTTGTCAAGACAATCACAGATGAAGCTGTCTCAGTACTCGGCTTTCAACTCTACAGAGCTAACCACATGAAGAAGCCCACGGGGATGGCGAGGGGAGGAGGATTTTGATTTTACATACATGCAGGGTGTTATAAAGATGTCACAGTGCTTTAAAAAATGAGTTACTCAGACTTAGAAGCACTATTCCTAAACTGTAGACCTTTTTATTCACTGAGAGAAATTGACTTGTTTGTTCTAGCTGGAGTGTACATCCCTCCACACGCCTCCACTAACAGTGTGTTATGGCTCCCAGCCGAGCAAATGACCAGCACAGAACAAACACACCCAGACTCTCTCCTCATCGTTGTAGGTGATCTTAACAGGGCAAACTTCAGCCACGAGCTGCCCAGATACAGGCTGTCAGCGGTCCGACCAGAGACAAAAGCACGCTAGACCACTGTTACACTATATTAAAAGTCACCTATCAGTCAGTCCTCGAGCAGCCCTGGTGCTCTCTGAACACTGCCTAATTCACCTCCTCCTCACCTACAAGCAAAAACTAAAAACTATTAAGCCTGTGACCACAACAGTGAGGAAGTGGACCAGGGAGGCTAAGGTAGAGCTGCAGGCCTGCTTCAAATGCACAGGATGGAGTGTTTTTGAAACGGCTGCTACAGACATTCATGAACTTACTGACACTGTGATGACATGTGTACTCACTAGGACCTTCTGTACATGCAATAACAACAAATCCTGGTTCACAGCTAAGCTCTGACAGCTTCGCCATGCCAAGGAGGAGGCCTTCAGCAACAGGGACCAGTATAAACGGGCCAGAAATGCTCTGAAAAGGAAGATCAAGAAGGGGAGTTAGGATAAGAAGCTAGAGGGACATACTTCAGCCAATGACCCTGCCACTGTGTGGACAAGCCTGCAGAAAATCACGGGTTACAGGAAACCACCCCCCCAGCATGGAAAAATGTCAACTGGCAGATGAGCTGAATCAGTTCTGAATCAGGGAGATGCAGAACCTCACAACCCTCCCCCTCCTCACCTCTGTCCCCCAACCATACAAGGCCTCTTTAAAAGACAAAAGACCAGGAAGGCACCAGGCCTAGACAGCATAAACCCATCCCTGCCTGAAAATCTGTGCTGATCAGATGGCCTGCTTCAAATGCTCCACCATCATCCCAGTCCCCAAGAAACCCCTCCATTATCAGACTGACTGACTACACACCTTTCTCCCTGATATCTTCAGTCATGAAGTGCTTTGAGAGACTGGTGTTGCTCCATTGTAGACCCTCTGCTGGACCTCCTGCAGTTTGACTTCCGTGCAAATAGGTCAGTGGATGATGCAGTCAACATGGCACCGTATGACATCCTGCAATACCTCAACTCCCCAGGGACCTATGCACGGGTCCTTTTTGTGGACTTCAGCTCAGCCTTCCGCACCATCATCCCGGATGTCCTCCACTCTAAGCTGACCCGGCCCACTGTGCCTGCCCCCAGTTGTCAGTGGATCATCAGCTTTCTGACAGACAGGAAGCAGCAGGTGAGGCTGAGGAAAACCACATCTGGTGCCAGGACTGTCAGCATGGATGCCCCCCAGGGATGTGTGCTCTCACCACTGCTGTTCTCCTGCTACACAAATGACTGCACCTCAGAGGACATCATTGGTCTCATCTGGGACAGTAACGAGCTCGCACACAGATGGGAAGTTGGACACCTGGTCCTGTGGTCGCAACAACGTGGAGCTGAACAAGCTCAGAATAGTGGAGATGACAGTGGACTTCAGGAAGAGCCCCCCCAACCACACTCAGCAGCACTGTATCAGCAGCAGAAACCTACAAGTTTCTGGGCTCCACTGTCTCCCAGGAGCTGAAGTGGACGTCCAACATCAGCACCTTCACCAAGACGGCACAGCAGAGGATGTACTTCCTGCTCCAGCTCAAGATGTTCAACCTGCCCCAGGAGCTGCTGATGCAGTTCTACAGTTCTATACTATACTCTATACCCACACACACCCACACACACACACACACACACACACACACACACACACACACACACACACAACACTATATAGTAATCCAATACGATTCCATATAATCAGTCAATAATACACAGTTAAATCTGCCAAAGAAGGGGAGAGCATTCTATGGAAGCGCCATATAAATGATGGTTATCCATTATTTCAAAGGTTGCCCTGGCTCTGGAGCTCTACGTCTCTGATGAGCAGTCACTGGCCAAATCAACCTGATCAGTGTTTGATTGTTGTGTCTTGTTGCTTTTCTTCTTTTGTCTCTCCTCTATCCACTCAACCTAACCGGTCAACGCAGAAGGCCACCCACCAAGAGCCGGGGTCTGTCGGAGGTTTCTTCTTTTAAAGGGAGTTTTTCCTCCCTACTGTCGCCAAGTGCTGCTCAGGGGGATTTCTTGGGTTTTCCCTTTGTAATAATAGTGATAACAGTAAGGTCTAGACCTTACTTTGTAAAGTGTCCTGAGACAACTTTTGTTGTGATTTGGTGCTATACAAATAAAATTTAATTGATTGATTTCAGAAAGCAACAATCTGTGTGGTCATGATGATGATGTCAAAACCTTTCTAATTGTTATGTTTTAATGTTTTTCAAACTGATTTTAGAATTCCCTGTGATGCAGAGTTCATTTTCGGTGTGTAGAAGTCACACACACATTTTCTTCAAAAAATGAGTCATCTGGGTGTTTGTTTCAGTTTTTCATGACATCACAGCTGCTTCGCTGCCAATAGGAGGAGCCTGAGTGTGTTTGTCAAATTTGTATGAATGTTTGGACGTAAAAAGAGTTTGGTTTTCATTATACTCTGTATTTTTGTATCAGAGGCAGACAAAGTGTTTGCACAAGTCAAAGGGAAAATCCTATTGGTCTTTAAGCCACTCGCAATGACATGATGCAGACAAAGTGTTGACATTGATAAAATAGCATTTACCTCAGGTCTTTATGAATTTTCTTCATAAAGGAGTCACCTAAATAAATGTTTATATATACAATACGAACATGAACTTAACACAAGCACTCGGCTAGCTAACAACCAGTGTCTCTACAATTTATTGGTTGTTTGAGGTGAATCGACACTAAAGTGAACAAACAATCGACACCTAAACTCACTGGAACAACATGAGGCAACAGTTCATCATGTTAGTGTTTGTGCTCAGAGATCACAGACATAACAAAGCTGCTACAAACCATCCTCTTCCACAAGGTTTTATTTTATTCCCTGACTGATGTCATGAAACTAAAACTAGAATAATTTAGATTTAAATTTGTCATGTTTTGGTAAAGAAGCTTGAGACCAAGTGGTTGTAGTGAGAAGGGAACAGGGCCTTAAACATGTCAAAACAACACGGAATACTGGTAGCTCAAGATAGAAGATAAACTGCTGAGCACGGCTTAAGTACAAGGCTGGTAATAGAGCGGGCAAATGAGAACACAGGTAAGCTCAGGTAAACACAAAGTTCAGGTAGGAAGAAACAGGCTTCAAACAAACCAGTGTGAGCAGTGGCCTTAATAGTAGTGATAGGGACAGAACCAGTCTGTAGCAGGCGGGCGGGCAAACGAGGAGCAGACAATAACCAGAGCCCACACATACGAAGGGCAAGCAGAGAACAAAAGACAGCTGAGCAGAAATCAGCAGAATCAAATGTCCAAACACAGGTGAAATCCAGCAAGTTAAGCAAGGTCAGGGTTGAATGGAAAAACAGACCAACAGGAATGCAGGGATGACGACTGGAGAGTTACAAGAAACATCTCTTCGACAAGACACTGGCAACGAGTGAATGCTCTTTGGTTGCTTTGGCCAGTGTTCAGGATCCTTGTCCTGCTG